ATTTAAGAAGATGAAGTATTTCAGCCAAACATTTAAGGGTCATGATTAGGGTGGACAGAACCATGGTTATTTCGTCAAAGAAACATGATTTTTGAGTTTATTTGGCTGCTTTGAAGTATAAATTTGGATGACATGGGTTTGGGATGTTTTTAAAATCAGAAGCTAGAATTGTTCTCTATAAGTAAAACCATAAAACTACCCCCATGTGTTGTATTTAAAGGTATTGTGGAGGATTTTCACTCATTTTTTAAAAGACCCACCCTCTCCTTGCGTGAAAGAGTGTGCATAAGCCCATTTCTCCTCATGCACGCTCTGTTTAAATGTTTAAATCAGGCTTACTTTCCAAAAGATTTTTAATTTTTCCACTATGTCAGACTCACCGCCAGTAAGTGAAAATGAGGACAAGCATGAAGGACGGCCTTATATAAACATATCAACAGAATGATTGACAATTGGGAGGACCACTTATTAAGATGATCCATCTGAAGTTTGGAGAGTATTTGAAATAAGTCTAAAGACCAATGTTGAAAACATGGTTTATTCCTATATTCATCTTATCTGGGGCTGAAAGATAAGGGAATTCCATATTTTTAAAGATTATGCCTCTAATTACAGCCGATAATGTGAGCGCTTTCCAGGAACCATAACGGTTAAGGTTGCAACTAACAGAGGAATGTAGATATGGGGCTCTAGTAGCATGATCAGTCTGACTGGCAAGGCTAAGAAATTTCATGATGTGATGGATTCAACAGGTCTCACATTGGAATTGAAACAGAAGGCTACAAAATACTTGCTGCAAAGACTGTATATTAAGTGGAACATTTTGTTTATTTTATTAGCTTCTATGTACAAATAAATTTAGGGTATTCGGAACTGAAATTTTGATTTATTTTAATATTCAACCACTCAAATATTTTCCGAAATTGATTTATCGATTATTATTCTTATCATTTAAGTGTAAATGTCATTTATTCATTCAGAGGATTACAATAACTGATAACATTAAAAAAAATTGTGTGTGTGTGTCAATCGATAAATGAAAATCAACCCTTTTAGTAATTTACTGCTAAACAACAGATGTAATTTTCTTAAAATAAAGTCATCAGCTAAGATTAATTTGGAAAGGAGAAAAATTATTTTGAAGAAAATTTGACAATTTTGGGGGGATTTATTTTTTAATTTTTTAATGGAACACTATACCACCTTTTGCTACATATTGACATCCTTTAGAAAAAATGAGAAAAATTAATAAATAAAACCTTAAAAATAAGTATTTAATGACAATTTCAAAAAGAAAAAAAATAGTTTACTTATAGGATGTTTTTTTTTTGTTTTTTTTTAAACATCCCAGCTAAACAGTTTTATATAAAAAAAAAATCTTATGCTTTCTTGCATTGTATTTTACTCAAAATGCAGCTGTCAAACAGTGATACATTGACGATATAGGACTACTCTAGTAAAAAAACATGACCTCAGACAGTCCAATTATAGCTACTTTCTCAAAAGCAAAAAATTTGTGAACGTGGGAACCTTTCTAAAACTGAAAGTGCTGAATAAAGACATCAAATAGTCTAAATAAGCATCAGAATCCTAAGCTTTTGACCTAACATGTTGTTACTGCATCACAATTACTGTAGGTTATCTGAACCATTTCCAGCTGTAAACAAACAGATGCAGCTAAAGACATATCAGAAAAAGAATGGCATTCCCCACCTTTGCACTTTTTTTATTTCCCTTCCAACATTTTGTAAAAGTGCAAATGTCTCCATAAAATGCATAAATCCACTATTCAGATGGATATTTGAGTTTTATTCAAACTAACTCTCACCCTGCATGTTCTCCATCCGGTTAGCTCCTTCTGTGACTCAGTTGAGCAGCGTCTCTATCCTCACAGCTAGTTAATTAAAGTTAATTATGCTCACCTGGCATCACAGGTGTAAATCAGTCTCTCATTAGAGAGCTGAAAATGAAGGAAGAGGAGGCAGCGCTGGGATAAGTAACGCAGGACAAACTGGGCCAGCATGTGATTGCTTTTTGGCCTGAAAGTAAAAAAAATACATAAATACCTACCATTACCAGCAATAAATGAACAGAAATTAACCATTAGAAAAATCAAATGTAGCCTGGATAAAGAGGTGTGTTTCATGAGGATAATATTTTGCCTAAATTAAATTTTCACAGTATCCAAATATTTGAAATGACTCTATTTCCAAGCAAATTATTAATGCTCACTGGCCATGATGATATTCATTGAAAAACTCACCAACCAGCATTTTACTGTGATTATAGTAAAACATTAAATTTATTAACTTACAGGTATTTATTACTTAATTTTTTTTTTTGCTGTACTATTTCCTGTTCCACGTTTAAACCTGGTAAGTTGATTCATTTTTTATGTAGTAAAATAACATCTGGATATAATTAAATTAATAAAATTCTGTTTATTTTTATAGCGCCAATACACAACACATCATCTCAAGACACTTTACTGTTCACCGGATCATACAGTCAAATTGAATTAAAGTTTTCTATCTAAGGAAAACCAATTGATTGCATCGACTCATTGACTTGAAGGCAATCCCTCACACTAAGCATGCTTGTAGCGACAGTTGAGAGGAAAAGCTCCCTTTTAACAGGAAGAAACCTCCAGCAGAACCAGGCTCAGTGCGAGCGGCCATCTGCCGAAGCTGACTGGGGTTCAAAAAGCAACTGTAAAATGTGTTCTTTAAAAAATGTGTTCTTTAAAAAATTACACAAAGAACCTTTCAAAATGTCAAAAAGATAGAATATTTACAGCTAATAAAAGAGAAACTTTAGGTTCTGTAACTTTCCAAGTTCTACTGATCTGATTTTCTGGCCATATTTACAGAAAACTTAAAAACACATTTCCTCTTGTTGCCAGGTCTGACTACAGTAGATTCACTTACCGTAAGCTGTTCATCCAATGATTTTTTTAAATAGCAATTGAGTAAAACTCTTATGACCAAATTATTATTAACATTACACTTAATGATTTAATCTAGAGCACAAAGATATGAATAAAATGGCAGAATAACCTTAATTAAAATGGAAATTTCATAATGAATAGGAATTAAACATCCAAAATATTATGATCTTAATTAACTGCACCCAGACATCAGTATCTCAAAAGTCTAAAGAAAATTAGTTTGGACAAAGCTTTTCTGTCACCACCATAATGAAGTAACTTGGATTTCTCCTTGTGCTGTTCCCTTGGTTTGAGGGACAAACTCAGATTCCAGTGGGTCTGCAACAGATTTTGGACATGTGGAATTTCCTCACTTGTTAATATAACAACGGTAAATGATCCAAGAAACATACCAGGTGAAGCTGAGTACCTGCCTAAGGAGCATGGATGTAAGACTGAAAACTTGCACAAAGACTTATTTGCATAAGCATGGAATATTCCCAGAAATCATGTCTGCAGGGATTACCTGCTATTCTGAGCCTGTAAGGCAGGTTTTTTCAGGTTAGGTCCAAGTATCCAAATTCAGACCATCTGTATTCATGGAAGGAGTCGTCACAATGGACCCAATCAAAAGTGAATCTGGGTTAATTTGTGAACTATTTCACACTAATTAGCTAATGCCAAAAATAAATCATACCATTTACTGTTATAATAGGATAAGAAACATTTCTCCAACTTGTACAATCTATATATATTTTTTTTAATTTATCAATTACAGCAATCAAGGGCTGTTTTTTCCACAATTAATCCCACAAATCAAAACTAGGTTCTCCTTTTGGGGTTTATTCCATAAATATCTGTTTTTAATTTTAATCTATTATTTTAAATCTTTTGAATTTCCTGTAGAAAGTTTGACATGTGGCATTTGAATCAAAACAGTTATGGGCTTTTATTCTGAAGGACGCTGCAGTAAATCATAATAGGTGAAAGTTTGTTTTGTTTTTTTATTGCCATGTAATTCCAAATTTTACTCTGATTTAATTCTCTTCAGTTAAATTGTACAATTTAGGTAAAACAACCTCTGCACTATATATTCACTTTACTTTTTAACAGAAGACAGCATGACTCCATATAGGTAACTGAAGCTGCCTTGCATTTGGAAGTTGCAATTGACAAATTAAAACAACGCTTGAGTGGGTTGTCAAATTTACAGAACCCTACAGGCTGCAATATTAATAGGTTGTATAATTCAGTACCATGGAAACGAGAGCCTGAGTTAAAACCTGTTTCCAGAAAAGCAATAATAAAGCAACAGAGGGCTATAGATATCATAGAGGCTGCTTGTTCCCACAGGAATCAATGTCAGTGCAGCAGGAGGTCTGAGTATCAGCCAACAGCCTCATTTATTAAACCTAAATAGCATTCAAAAATTGTTTAATCTTAGCTCTTAAGAGCACCATGGCAACAGCTGTTTCTTCAATCGCATTAGTTGGTATTTGACTCAGTCACAAACCTGAGTGTCAACAGACCAGGATGCTGAGAGATGTGCAACATGGGCTCCATCTAGTGGTGAAGGCAAAGAAGACAACCAATCTGAACTTTAAGTTTGCTCCAAGTACGGTAATACAACATATATGTAAATTAAACACTTTTGCATAAATAATACATGTATAGTGCAATGAATAGAAGAGATGTTTCTTTGCAATTTATTTCCATTTTTATTTAAATTAGAAACATTTTTATCAAAACATTCAAGTTTTCAGGACAAAACATTGACAGTGCAATAAAGGACTCCAAAAAAATCAAAAATACCGTACCACAGAAAAACAGTAAGACAAATATGTTCTCTTGACAGTAAAGAGAACTTTATATAGGCGAAAAATAAGGCCGTTAACAATTCAGATGTCAAACTATTCTCCAAAAGACTCTAAAAACACATAGTTATTCAAACTACTGCTTGTACAAACTGAATATTAATACTTAAAAACATAGTACGTATTAAATATCAAGAAAACTGATACCAATCTAACAAGCCAACCCAAAAACTGGCAACAATGGCATGTTGTTTTTTTTGTTTTTTTACAATTCAGTAGCTTGTTTCTCCACCCCTCAGCCACCATCTCATAGAAACTGTAGATTAGCTAAGCTAAATCCTCCTATTTGAAGTTTAACAGGGTGTTTTATCAACAGTCCTTAAAAACACTGTGGCTGTTTTCGTGAATAACCAGCCATGTAAACAACATTTCTGGCCCATTGAAACAATCATTTGACTCATTATGTGGCATCGTTTTCACCAGACAGAATCCACCTGCCGGGATTAATCAATAGATCATTTTGCATCCATGGATAAGTCCTCTGTATATCCCATAATCCTTTGCAGTTCCTCAATGCAGGGAGCTATTAACTGGCTTTGAAGCTGAGCAACTTTAAACCTAAAGAAAAACAAAAAACAAAGAGTGACATTAGGAATACGTCTCAAATGAAAGGATTCTTCCTACTGAAGCATTGACCCAAGAAAGAATGTTCTAGACCTATGAGGCTACCAGCACACAGAAGCATTTTAATTGTTATGTTACTGTTATATTCTTTAAACAGGCAGGAAAACTGGACTCCAGTCGGATCTTTAGGTGGATGTATCAACAGAAAAATTAATTGGTTTTCATTTATTTACCCAGAAAGGACTTCAATACATTATATATAAGCCAAGCTACATTCTTTTTTTCCCCATAAAACCTTTAAAGTCGTAGGGAAGCGGCCGTTCCAACTGTTGCATTTCCGAATTCTCCTGAGTGGTGCCCGACTTTACACGAGTGCATAAAGTGAATGTGACTGGTCGTTTATCAAGGGGGCGGGATTGTTGTGGAGGAAGGTTCACAAGCAAGTTTGATTGTGGCCGGTGTCTCTGAAGCATCTTGTTAACCAGTTAGCATTACACTGGGACCAAGTAGCACTAAATTGGTGACTTAGCAACGACACTGTCAAGGAACGCTATGGACAGCAGAAACATGCAAGAGGACAGTTTTGAACCGGAGGTCGTGGATAAGTCTCCTCCGTCATACATTTTTTTATTTTGAGGAGGAAAGTGGGGACGAAGTTGTTGTGGGAGAGGACGCCAGAAGCTTGGTTTGGTGTAGAAGGCTTACAGCCGTACATGTTTGAGCCTTGCCTCGCAACACTGCCAGTTCTGTTAGCTCTACACCTACCGAAGACACAGACGTCCATCTCCGTGAACACTGGGATTGAACTCAACGGGAAAGTAAATGATTCTTATTTGAACCGTTGCGTATATTAGCTGCGACATATGAATAAAGATGCTGAGACCAAAAAGAATTTGATCGACAGATGACCATTGATATATGATTGGCTGAATTTAGGTGTACAAGCTGACGTATAACTGACTGGCTTGTATAAGATAACAAAAAAAAAAAAAAAAAGATTTTAAGGCAGGATTTTTTTTTTAAATAATAATTTTCTAACTTTTGGGAAAATATCGTTTGATAAAGAGTACATATATATTTATGTTAAAGCCACAATGATTTGGAATTTAAATATGATTTCCCTACGACTTTAAAAACCCTTTAGTAGCATTTGTCTAATTTAAAACCTGCCTTTTCTTTTACTTACCTTAAAATGTATGTGTTTATTTTATTAATGTGCATGCATGTTGCAAACCAGCTGAACTATTCAATGAGCTTTAAAAGCCTGACAGTTACCTCCGCAGCAGTTCCCGTGCTCTGCTGGGTTCTGGTCGGTAGTGCTCCAGAGCAGAAAGACTGTGAGCAGCCAAGACGCCGTAACACTGTTCTCTCAGCACGTTGTGGTTCACCGTGTCCCACTGTGGTAAGTCACTGGTGAATCGCCACGCCATAAGGGAGTGCTCCAACACAGCATCCCACTCTTTGTTCCTCAGGAGAACCTGGCCCCACTCCTGACATGAAAGCTGAAGGCCAATAAGAAGTAGAATAAGCAGGTTAGGTCTTAGCTTGAATAAACCAAATCACCTGACTTAAAAGACAAAAATTACGAGGAATTTTCTGCCAAAATATACACTTTTTTCTGATTGATGCATCAAGTGAGGAAAGGATGAATAATTTAGTTCTTTAACACGTACTTTAAAAGCCAGCAGGTGAGGATAGGCCTTTCTGTAGCAGTGAGCATCCCTGTTGGAGCCAAACCGTGAATACGGTATAGACCTGTATACATTCGTCTTCTTCAGCTGGAGGTCTTCGTGAAGATACTTGAGGTCTGTCGCCACCATTCTGGGCTCTTGGCTCTGAAAACAATCCAGAACATTATGTTTTTGTTAAGTCTCAGGCACTAACTATACAGAAACACATGTTTTGATCTATAAATACTCAATTCAGTAGCAGGAACACATAATCAAGGTGAATACCTGTTCAACCAGGATGAGGGATCTGATGAGCTGCACCAGCTGCTGCTTGGAGAGTTGGGTTGGATGTTCATCCATCTTTTCACACTGGCTCTCCATCCTTTCTCCCCACAGGCCCCCAAAGGATAAATCCACTGCAACAAAAATGAGCGACATTAAAACACAGTCTGTGTTTGGACAACAGAGAACTACCCCGGCGCTACACCAATAATACCCTCAAACATGCCACATCCTAACTACCATTTGTCTTAAATTTGAGGAGTTTGCAGCATCAAACCTAATCTGTTACAGCTTATTCAACCTTGAGCACAACATTTTTTTAAAATCAGCAATTAAAGTGCAAGAAAGAAAAAATGAGAATAACCAACAAGGTTTGCTATCTTGATTAGACAAACGGACCAAATATAAATTATAATCACCATTGGATACAAAAAAGTCTAATTTTATCACCGTGGCCTAACCCTTCTTATAGCACATCTACAATACTATAGCATTTGTGCTGCTATTGGCTTAGATTGCAGGAAGACATAGGGACCCCTTTTCATGGTTCTCTCTCTATTCTCCCCTTCTGTAGTATTTGTTAGTACAATCTTTAACGTTATGCATCGCTCTGCTTTTTCTCATCATAGTAGGTTCATATGGTCTGTTCCTGTTTGGCTGTGACTCCATCCTGGAGAGGGGTGTCACCCGTGCTGCTGCCATCAACGCCTTTATTTATGGATGTTAGAGCTTGGCCTGGGTAGTCTTGTTTTTCTGACTGTGACTAAGTAAATATGCTCTCCTTAATCCTCCGACATGGGAGCTGGCTTGGAGCTTGTCTGCATGGTTGCGGGTTTCCTGGACAGGGCCACCCATGGAGCTAGTTGAAAGTTGCCTTTTGTATCTCTTCTTTTTCTATGTATGCTTCTGTCTCCTTGAACAGTAGTCAGCCTTGGCAGATGGACGCTCACACTGAGCCTGGTTCTGCTGGAAGTTTCTTCCTGTTAAAAGGGAGTTTTTCCTCTCCACTGTCACTACAAGCTTGCTCGGTGTGAGGAATTGCCTTCGAGTCAATGCCATCAACTGGTTTTCCTTAGATATAAAATGTTGGAACTAATCTGAATGTATGAGCTGGTTGAATTTTCTCTTTAAAGTGTCTTAAGAGGACATGTGCTGTGAATTGGCGCTATATAAATGAACTGAATTAATTAGTAGCATTGACGGTGGTATTAGTACTAGAGTGTCAGTAGCGTCACATATATGATTAAGGCCATGTTAATGAATACACTAAATGCAACAGAAGCAAAATCAATGTCTATTATTACAGTGGAATCTGGCTATAGTGGTCACGGATATAGTCATCAACCGCTTATATAGATCAAAGGCTTGGGACAGAATGATTTCTATACAAATGCTATTTAAATAATTCGTTTATAGTAATCAAGAAATACACTTAGTGTTCATTTTTGGCCATTTTATGAATGTAAACATGTGCAAAAATAATTTTAAAAGTATGTGTTGCCTAGTTATTTTATTTTCTTACTCCCATGATTCCTTTCGGGGCCTCTGCTTCTGCCTAGCTAGCTAACGTAAAGAGTTGACGGCCAGGGAGGAGGAGGATGAGGATGAAGAAGAGGAGACCGTTGTCCCTTCAAGAGCTGAGATGAGGAATCCAGTTTGCATTTTAAAGAATGGTCTGGTGCATGTTTGTTTCAAAAACTTTGACCTTTTACATTGTTTTGAAAAAGAAGCGAACTCCGTGTTGGTAAAACACTCTGATCCAGGGAACCAGAGATAAATATATGAACTGATTTCTTAATGCGGCACACCAGATCCCAACACAAAACAGAGGTAGGCCAGCTTTAATTTTCTGTAGCCTATGCAGTTATCTTTTATGCTGTTGTTCCATGAAACCATCTGTTTTAAACTTTACTTTCAGATGTGTTAAAAAAAAAAAAAGGAATGGCGGCACAGCAGAGCCGAAACTACCAGTTACGTCTGCACACAGCGCAGTAAACTGTAATTAAACTTTCATCGTGCTGTAATAAAATTCAGTAAATGTAGATGCTTTGTGTTAAATTTCATTTTCTTATTGAAAAACCCTACAAATGGCATTGAGATGATATTCTGCATAATAAAATAAAGTGAAGTAATGGTAAATTCGGTTTTGGTAATCAACGGCTTACAGTGTTCAAATTGGCTCTGGACCAACTTGACCACTATAAATGGATTCCACTGTTATACTATATGAAAATTATATTTAAGATGATGACAACATTACATAAAGATACCCAAAGTGTTTAAAGAATCAATTCTAAACACTTATCTGTAAACAAGGCTTGCAAAAATACACAACAGAGAAGTTGTGTGAAAGTTTTCAGCTTTAGTTGATCTTAATTCCTGCTTGTGTCATAACAAAACCTCCAACACATTAGCTCTATAAACTGTTATTGGTGTTTAATTCGGATAAAACACAGGTTCTCAATCTGATCAAAAATTATTTGCACCATTCAAACCCTTTAATCTGAATCCTTACATCTTAATAACCATGTGCTGTTTTTATTGTCAACATTTCCAAACTTATATACCCTTTCTTTTAAATACCTACTCTTTTTTTCAGGCCACACACAATTTTCCCCACTGTGGGACAATCATTTTATTTTTTCTTACTTACAAGAGTGTGCTCGCTTTGTGCTTGGGTTCCTGCCTCTTGGAAGTGCAGCAGGGGCCAAACGAGCACCGAGAATCTCGAAATAAGACCTTCTCATTCGAGCTGCAAAAAGTGAAAAAATAAAATATACTTATGAAAATTTTCTGTATCATTTTCTTTAAAAAAAAAAAAACTATTTTTTTGTGGAAAAAATAATTAGTAAATATTGAGGTAAAACGTAAATATAGCAACTGTTTAACTTATTTCACAATCAGTAAAAGGCGCTCGTTTGCGCTGGAGGCGCGCGCATCCTGTTAACATTAGCATGATAGCAAAGCTCCCAATAAGTTTGTAGCATTAAACCCCGAATAAATCATTTTACTGCATCAGAGTCAGGCTTACCTGCTATTTTGGGTTGGGGTGCAGGTATTTCCACCAAGGCACGTCGTTGCTGACAAAGCGCCGCCATCGCTGCCAAACGTTTATCAGTAGAGATGTGGAGCTAGCTTCTTGCTAATCATGTAGCCAGAACTTTAAACCCCGCGGGGGTGCAGAACTAAACACTCCTCCACCTTAGCAGCTGGCGCGCGACAAACACAGACACTCCCCAGCTCTTTAAAGGGTGTTATAAACTTACCTGATATAAGCTAAGCCTTTCACGAACAACAAATAAACTTATATTTTAAACTTTTTAAAGCTATGCCTACAAGTGTGTACAACTTCTGTATGCTAGGGACAATGCTTCAGGAGGAGGCGCTCGAGCTAGAGACGAGTTGCCGCGCGGGCGGGGCTTAGATCAGCATGCTGCAATCTGATTGGTTGAGGGGATGAATATGCAAAATAGGCTCGGCTTCTACGCCATGCCCACGCACATACTTTACAGCTGCTGGAAAAGTACATCACGTAAAACACGCAGGAACCATAATACGTGGGAACAGGACAAACATTTTGAGCGTGTAAAGGCCTATTTACAAATGGATATCTTACATGAAATTACTGCATTCTACGGAAGAGGATTAAAGCTACTTAGAAAAAAAAAAGTTAACTGATTTTTACATTTTATTTCAGTATAATATGAGAAAAAAGTCAGAATTCTGACTTTAATCTCAGAATTCTGACTATCTTTTCAGAATTCTGACTTTGATAACGAAATTGTAGATCTTAATATAGTTTGGCACCAGCAAGGAAGATATGTGGGAGCACTCAACTTCACTAATAAAGATGTGACTTGAGATTAAAATCAGAATTCTGAC